TATCTATCTATCTATCTATCTATCTATCTATCTATCTATCTATCTATCTATCTATCTATCTATCTATCTATCTATCTATCTATCTATCTATCTATCTGTCTATCTATCTGTCTGTCTATCCAACCATCCATCCATCTATCTATCTATATTTTAGGTGTGTTCTTGGTCTTTTATAAACACAAAAAGACCCAGAACAAAGCTAAACCATCCAAAAACATCCTAAAAAGCAAAGATAAATAAATAACAGAGCCAAAAAGACCCCCAAAAAAACCCAAAATAGGCATCAAAAGACCAAGAACACATAAAATATAGATACATTTTGTGGGAATGTTCTAAAGGTTTGCTTTAAAATTGTATATTAAATGCACATTTTGAGGAATTTTCAAAAAAATTTGCCTTAAAATTGTACATTAAATGCACATTTTGAGGAAATTTTCTAAAGATCTGCATTAAATTTGTACTTTAAATGCACATTTTGAGGACATTTTCTAAAGGTTTGCATTAAAATTGTACATTAAATGCACAATTTGAGGAAATGTTCTAAAAGTTTGCATTCAAATTGTAAATTGAATGCACAGTTTGAGGAAATTTTCCAAAGGATTGGATTAAAATTGTACATTAAATGCACAATTTGAGGAAATTTCCTAAAAGTTTGCATTCAAATTGTAAATTGAATGCACATTTTGAGGAAATTTTCCAAAGGATTGGATCAAAATTGTACAATAAATGCACATTTTCCATCTTTCCGGGGGAGTGGAGCTCATAAAAACACCCTGATAGTGAATTAAACTCGGTCTAAACTGCTGTTTCCTTATTTTCTTTGTTTCTAATCCCACTTTCCCCACATTTGCTGTTTCCTTTTAGATCCGGAGGGGAACATCTCCAACCCCAAAGGCTCCCAGTTGGTGCACATGACCCTGATGATGCACAGCTGGGTGGTGTCCTCCCAGACCTTCGCCCAGAGGCTCCTCACCTTATATCCTCCCCCCCCCCACCCCCCCGGGGGTCACATGCCCGGCCCGATTATCCGGATCAGGGAACAGCCCCCGCTTTGTTTAGTTGTGTGTTTGCTGTGTGCTTGGATCCTTGACCCGTTCCCTCACATATAAGGACTGTCCCGCTGACCGCAGGGAGCCCCGGAGGACCCAGATCTGCAGCTTCATCAGGTCAGTGGCATCTAAAACTGCGTTTTTCAATTTTCTGCAAATAATATTCCCTTTTTGAGTGTCTGTGCTGTTCTAGTGACTGGTGGCGTAATCATGTAATAATTCCTTATGACTAGATTTTGTATATAATTTTGCATATTGAAGTGGACATGTTAAGTGCAATTTGAAAGAAGAAATATAAAATAAGATACAAATAAATTTTTGTGTTTATTTGATTCCTATTCATGACACTTAAGGGAAGATAAGAATAAAATAAGAATAACTATATTGTTACTATAGGCGGCTACAGATTTGTTTAACATTTTTGGTTGGTGGTGTGCATCATGATTTTTTCTATGAAAAACTGTACCTTGGCTCAAAAAAGGTTGAAAAACACTGGTCTAAAATACCCTTCCTATATACAGTGGGGTAAATAAGTATTTGAGCCCTTGCTGATTTTGCAGGTTTGCCCACTTACAAAGAATGCAACGATCTATAACTTTAATCATATGTACATTCTAACAGTGAGATACAGAATCCCAAAGAAAATTCCAGAAAATCACATCATATGAATTTATAAAAATTGATAACCATCTGATGAGGAAAAATAAGCATTCTTTGTAAGTGGGCAAACCTGCAAAATCAGCAAGGGGTCAAATACTTACTTCCCCCACCGTAATAGAGGACAGAAAAGGAATATATACGATATATATATGTATTTTGTATTCACTTATCCGAGATGCCTCTTATAAAACCCTTCCTCTTGAACGTGTGTGGTCTAGTGAAATAGAGCGATTCATTGAACTGGGACAGGACATGGTCGTCAATTGTCCATCATAAGATACGTTTAAATTATATCCACAGGTAGGGTTCTCAAAAGTATTGATACTAAAAACGTTGTATCCGGATACGATACTCATTTTCAAAAGTATCGATA